TCCGCAAGCCCAGTAGCGCGGGTGACGCGGGGCGCGTGGCGGTTGACTGTGCGGCGACACACGGCGCTGGCCGGGGGACGGCGCCGCGGCCCGTCGCAACACTGCTGCCGCTAAGACCCAACACTGCGTGTGACCCAAGATCACTGAGAACGGCACAAGCACGAGCCAGAACGATGGTCAGGTCCAATCCTTCAGCCTTGGAGCCGGCGCGGATGCTCTGGCGTCCGGCGTCCGGCAGCCCCGCGACGAACGCGCAGACCAGCGCGCGCTTCGGCAGTCCACAGAACAAGACCGACAGCCGCCGGAGGTCGGCCAGAAACATGTCAGTCGCCTCACCCGGCATCAGTCGTCGAGCGGCGAACATCTCGTAGACGGCGTGCTGATCGAGGGCAAACGCGGAGTATAGTGCGCCTCGCACAGCCTCCAGGGAGCAGCGGTCGGTCACCGGCAACTGCGACCAGACGTGGAACGCGCCACCGGCGAGGCGCAGAGGTATGACCGACTCGGCGGCCACCCCTTCAGCTGGCACAGCATCTCCGCACGCATCATCCAGCTCACGACATCACCGGTCCCGTCGTACTCGGGGACGAGGCGAGCATCGAATGTCGGTGCTGCGGCTGCCGGCTGGTGAGCGGCGGCAGCTAGCGTCGGAGCAGTAGTCGCTTGCAGACTTATTGTCGCCGTCACCCCGCTGGTCTGCACGGGAACCTGCACAGACGGGTCCGGAACACCCGTCGCCATATTGCCCAAATAGCTTGTATTTAAATTGCGATTCGAATACTAAATGCCACGGTACAGTACGACGGTACAATCAAACGTTACAGAATCTACAGGACTAAGCAGCCGACCCCCGTCCGCGCTCCTTCGCGCCACCCATGCGGCCGCCGCCGCCGCCAGCAGCGCCGGCAACAATACATCTCGTGCTGCACAGCTCGTGCGGCTCTCGCGTCTCTACGCGCCGCATGCAGGGCGCGGGTGCTGTTCAGACATCACAGCACCGCGTTCATGAAACACGTATTGCCGATGTTCCGGAGACCCGTAAGGCCACGCGGCCGTGTCCCGGGCCGCGTCCTATCTACGTTCGAGCTAATGATCCCAGGGCAGCTCGACGGGGAGGCGGTCGGGCCTGGACAGGCGACCGGGCAGAGCTGCTCCCGGTCCCACCGGTCAGTGCGCGCCCGCTCGGCTTGCTGCTTCCCTTACGCTCCTTCCGGGCGTTCCTTCCGTCCCAGTGGCTCAGTGGAATTGTTCACCTCAGCCTGCAGCTCCGGAAGGCATCACTCCGAGCCTGGCTTCACCGGGCTGTCATACCGGTCCCGGAGGAGGTGACGTGCTGTCAAGGAGCATGTAGGAGGCTCACACTGAGGCGGCGACGAGTTAGGCGCTCCATCAATCGGGCTTATGATGTTGTTGGCTGCCTCCGGATATAATGTCCAGTCCACCGCAGTCTGTTTGGCCTTTGGGTGCGAGCCAGTGATGTGTGCTGATAGGCGCGTTAAGGGAACTAGTTGTGACAATCACAAAAGCAGCACTCCCACGGATGACGGCGACTGATGGCCGCTGTCAGAGTTGGCCAGCCTTAAAGTGATCTCCAGATAAGTTGACAGACCGCAACCCAACTCTCTGATGAAAGCCTTCCCAAACAATGCCATTCCCCGGGAGTACGGATAAATCGTCAACGCTTCTGGTTGTTTGCTGTCGCCATGGTCCAAGCCGGTTGGCTACAGAATTGCGGGAATGCCCGCAGACTGCAGTACGCGTCTGATGGTATCGTCCAGCGTTGTGTGCCAGGGAGGTCTTCAAGCGCTGAGACGGAATTTTAGGGCATGGTAACCATTACAGCTCCTGCAGACGCCGTATCTGTAAGAGTCCGTCCGCAAGAGCACCGTATTTGCATTGGTGTTGGCTACACACATCGGCTCCAACCTTCGATGCTATTGAGCTGCGCAGTCTCTTGTTGTCAGTCAGTGTACCGAGATTGTCCGATGGCACGGCATGCAGCCGGATACCGCTCTTAGAAGCGCCGGTGCTTAACAGCCGGGCTCAGGCAAACTGGTCAGCCTCCAAAAGGCAAAGAGCTGCGATTGCGTTCTACGAGGTCGGGGTCCCATGCCCGCTGCTCGCGCTTAGCACCACCTTGTGGAGGTCCTAAATCGCCGGCTTCGGTTTGCCAGCCCTCCGCCACCAACTCGGATTTCCGCGCCACGCATGCACTTAGGCTTGCTGGCAGCGTGGAGGTCATGAGCTGATCGCATCAGTGGACTGATGTCACGTAGCTCAGCAGAGCAAGGTCCTTGATCTGACGGAGTCCACGGTCGCCGTATCTTGTTGGCAGGACGGATTGACTCCAGCAGTTGTCATCGAAGTTGACCTTTACTAGTCGGATTACAGCTGGATTAAGGGTGTTGTCTGGCGGTCCTAGGAGTTCTGGCATTCGAAATACCGGGGCAGCTCTCAGAACATACTGCAGCTTAGGTAGCCATAGGCTGCTTTTTTAGAAGGAGGAAGGATGAGTGGGCGTCCAGATGTTGAGGCGCTTCGTCATTCGTTCTAGATCTTCCTTTTTCTTAGCCGTCACGACATCGTCCGCAGCCTCTTTGCTGGGAGCCCCGAATGCTGTTGACTCCTCCTCCTTCAGTGCGGCAGCTCCTGGGATAAGCTTCTGAAGTCGGTCTATGGTAAAGCACCTTACCTGCCCGGAGGCTTTAAAGGGCAGGATGAACTCGCACCTAGTTGGGCCAAATTCAAGGCCGATGCCGGTCATGGCACGAATAAGTCGCCTCAAGTCGTTGCAAACCTTTTCAACATCACCACCTACGGCTCCGTCGTCCAGGTACCAGCAATTACAATCTGAGGTGACTGCACTGGCAATTGAGTGAATTGCCAGGGAGAGTGTGGCGGCCCGCATGGGTCACCTTGCTGTTTCCCAGTCGCTGGCATGATCTTGGTGGTGCCATAGAAGGGGGGAGTGGGCTAGGGATGAGCCTGCCAGAGGAAGGGAGAGAAGGTGCACGCCCTCGTGCGACACGGAGGAAGTGGTCACGGCGCGTGGTGTTGAAAGCATTGCGCATGTCGATTTTCACGACAACGCTGCATGTTCATTCAGGTGTTTAATGAGCTGTCGTGAGGCGCGGACCGCAGTTTCACAGCCCCCCGGCGTACCACAGGCCAGTTGAATGGAACACAGTTCCTGGTCTAGTTGAGCACTTAACGGCTCGAGGCCTGCCTCCATCGTTAGCCTATGGTACACGGAGTCAACCGCAGTCTGTCGAATGCCGCCATCAGACTTCCGTACGGCGATCCAAGGAGACCCTACGGAAGCTGCTAGAGAGAAAGCTCTAGAGCCGAAGATGGAACGTCACCACTGAGTGTGCGGTTAACCTGTTCCGCGCATGCAACAGTGACTCGCAATCTAGCCTCTCCCGTTGATTGACTGGTCAGATCTGTGAGATACGCCGGTCTCAAGCCATCTAGCCTGCGCTGGAAACAGTATTGAAGGAGGCGATAGCTGCAACAACATCAGCTTCCCTGGCCAAGCGTGGCTGGGTACTTTCGTCCGGGCCGGGCGGGTGACTTAGGTCTGGCGGAGTGATAGGGCGCCTGTGATTTAGGCTCTCTATCCCATCATATGAATGCTGGGCAATTTTGTCGTTATATTTTGTCGCAATTTTGCCGTTAGGCCCTCTATCGCATCATCTGAATGTTGGGCAAGTTTGTCGTTACATTTTGTCGCAAATTTGTCGTTAGGCTCTCTATCACATCATCCGAATGCTAGGCAAGTCAAGTTATCAGACGGTGATGTTCAAGGCGTGCACGTCTACTAGCCTGCTGGGCAATTCTGTCGATTCAGGCTAGCAGACGTGTGCGCCTTGAACATCACCGTCTGATAGCTTGACTTCATCAGCTTCCGCCGGCGGGAGGTGGCCGCGGAGGCGATCCGCTTGCTCTGCGGCTTCGGATGCGATCACCTCATCCTGAAGGTTGAGTGGTCTGGATACGCATCTCCTTGGCTAGGTCGAGTGATCCAGCGAGTCTCCCACCCGCGTGTGCTCCAGGTGATTACCAGCCCCGTTCTCAATGCGCAGTTGCCGAGGCGGGCGCTCATCCCATTCTCAAGGTCTGGGGCAGTCTTGCTGTCGGGCTGGGACCGCTTGGATCGGGCTGCCGAATGGGAAGCTTTCGGGAACTAAAAGGCGCACGGAGGTCGTGTGAGCCGATTTCGCTTCTGAGTGATATGTTAAGTCTTGGAAGGAGCTGGACGCCGTCATAAAATGTAAGAATAAACATTTCTGCAATAGTGAAAATATTCTGCGCAAAATATTTTCAAAAGTGGCCTTTTACGTGCAGCGTGCAGAGGCACAGCCTCCCCTTATCAAGTGTTTTTGCATGCATTTATATGTCCGCGAACAAAGGTTGAAAACGAAGTTGGAACAGACCCGTTAAATAAAGTAGATGGAGGAGCTGCAATGTAATCCTTATGTAATGCAAAGAAACACAGTTTTTCACCCGAAACCCGTCTACCCATTGAGCATTGCTGCATGCGTCCCTCCCAAAGTGAGGCTCGAAAATCATCGAGCATTTGCGCATTAAGTGACTTAAGCTTATCATATTTGCTTCATTTAACTTCCTACATTTCGTGTGAGAAAAGTACCTGTATGTCGACGCAAATCATGGGTTGCATTGGAAGGCGGCAGATACGATATAATATTATGCAAATGTCTGAAAGAATTTACGATATCGAAAAATATTTCGGAGTTAACGTTTTCGTGAAAACCGCATATACTGTTTAAACTGGACTATATGTAAATGTTCTGCCCTACTTCATAGAACATTTGTGTGTGCTTGTTTGCACATGTGCAGCTGGGGTATGGGGGGGGGGGGGGGGGTGAGGGAACAGAAAGTGGGCATTAAAAGCCGTCTGTGAATCTTGTGTCTCGTGTCTGGTATTCTTGGGGAAGTCGCAAATATCATAGTGGTTTAAAGCTGATAGCAAAACAAACTTCACTGGAGTGGTTTATTTTCAGTTTTTCTATCCTCAAAGTAGTCAGATAGCTGCTTTCTGCGCAAGGTCGATATTAACGAACTATATATTACACCTGAAGTCGCAATAAAGCAACTCACCATTCGATCACAGTACCTTCAACATCACTATTTTATACATCGGAGCGGTGCAAGGACGTCGTTCAATACTGATGATCAGTTAGACTCGATGGGCCGCGCGGATTAGGAGCGCGTGTCTACTTCTAATGTGGCCGCCCGCGCGCACGCCCCGCCGCTGAGCGGGACGCAGCGCGGGCGTCGAATACCGCGGGCGGCGCACTGCAGATGTCGCTTCAGTCGGCACAGCAGGTGGCGTCGCGAGCGGTATTCGGTTCGGGGCGGGCGGGCGACGCTCAATAGTCGCCGTGGTACTTGTAGACGAAGTCGTCGTCCAAGTCGATGGCGTTTTCAGAGCCGGGTGGGTTCAGCCGCATCTGTGGGCCAAACTTAGTTAGCCTCGGCGCTGGGCGGAACGCCGGCTGGATGACCGGACTCACGCATCGTGGCGGACAGCTTGCTGTGCCATCTTGTCGAAGAAGCGGAACTGTAGTGATGATGCAGAGCTTTGCCCTTGAGTTAGTTGATGGAAGCTGGTTGCAGCGGTTTTGTGTGTCGTCAACTGCACCTACTCTGATGCAGGGCATAGAAGCGCTTCTAAAATGCAGCGGAAATAAAACCGTTTGAACTGAGCAAGAAAAACCAAGCTGCGATTAGTACCAGTATGCCGGTATGCCGGTTGCTGGAACCGTTACCCTTCTATGTTAGCGATTTCAATGAGTCTTTTGGGTTACGTGCAAAATATGGTACAGCGATTGTGCCCATTGTTCCTGCCCCTCCTCGGACGTCTACGCCGCTATCACGCAGGCACATGTCTTGTCAGCACAGGATGCGTCTGTCAGGACCAGGTGGCTCCTTTGTCATCTTCGGCTAGTCTGAGTCATGAATAGTGACGTCATTAGTCTCCCCCGATCTCCTGCTTACTCAGACACGTAATGGCTGCGCGGCAGGGTAGTCGGGTAGTAAGAGATGTTAAGCATCGCTGTTGCGCGGCGGTTCATCGGTATAAGTTGGCCCAATATATATTAACCAATTACTGATATGATTAGCTTCATCAAAGCCATAACGACGATCCGTAAACGAGCAATAGCAAAGAAGCACTACTTAATGCGAAAGGTGGTTCTATGTTGAATTATCACTTTTCTCAGCCATATATCTCGATTGCAAATATAGATCTTGTTCAAAACTGCTGTTTCCTGTTTCGGTCAACGAAGTGTGAGCATAAAACTGCAAGCTGTGGCTGTTGGCTTAATGCCACCGGTGACTTCCAAGCCATACTCGCCCGCATCGGTCCACTGAGTCGTTGGTACTGATAACCAGTTTACTGACACTCCACGTCCCTGATATCGGCCTGTTTCGGTCGTGTTCGGGTCCGTGCTGTGAGTGCGGTGGTCTTCGGAGGAGCTGAGCGTGGTCTGTCTGACGCTGTTCTGCCGACGGATAAGCTCCGCCACCGCCTGCGGGGATTGGCTGCTCTCTTTGTCACACCAGTGGCGACTGTCCGTACGTACCGGCCCTCCGCAAATCCCGTCCCGGATGCTTTCGCTGTCAGAACACGACGCAGCTGTGTCCGTCTGTCGGGTCTGTTTGTCGGCTTAGCGCCACTTCCAGGTCAGGCTAGACATGTTCTCATCACGCGCGGCAACGGGATTTGCGGCCAGCAGTCAGCTGGCCGTGCAGCTGTCACGGTTTTCAGAGCTGGGACCAGCAGATGCGTCTGCACTAAGGTAGGTTTGCGAATATTTGCGGCCAGCAGTCAGCTGGCCGTGCAGCTGTCACGGCTTTCAGAGCTGGGACCAGCAGATGCGTCTGCACTAAGGTAGGTTTGCGAATATTTGCGGCCAGCAGTCAGCTGGCCGTGCAGCTGTCACGGCTTTCAGAGCTGGGACCAGCAGATGCGCCTGCACTAAGCAGGCTTGCGAATATTTGCGGCCAGCAGTCAGCTGGCTGTACAGCTGTCACGGTTTTCAGAGCTGGGACCAGCAGCTGCGTTTGCACTGAGGCAGGCTTGCGAATATTTTGTCAAAAGTCAAACCAGCCGTTGGCTGGTCTGTTCGCCCGTAACGGTCCGTCGTCTAACCGGTCGTTGATAATCAATGGTCTAAGTCTGCAATGGTCATCAGCTCGCGAGGCTTGCATTCGTCCAGGGTCTGTCACATCTCCAATGGTCTGGACCATGTCGAACTCATGTCTGTAACTGCTCTGGTCTGCAATAGTCCATGGTCCGTTAGACCAGACGCAGTCCGTCAGACCCGCAACAGTCTGAGGTCTGCCAGTCCTCGGGTCCAAGTCCGCGGTCCACAAGTCCTGTAAAAGTCGGCCGTCGGCCGGGCCCGGTCGCGGGTCCAGCGATGGCGTTAGTTACCAATTAGTGGCCGTCCCAGATGCCGTTCAACGCCTCCTCCTCCGACTTGAGCCGCTGCTGCAAGGTTGATCAGTGAGTTAGACACAGGGAGATCGCCGGACTACACCGGCTAGTCCAGCGAAGCGTTGCATTCGATTATTCTGACCTTGATATATGATGCACCTGTCCGCTCCGTATTATAACGGCAAGCGTATTGGGACTGGTTAAACATGACACCCGTTAGTATGCCTTCCGCTTTCCCAATGAGTTTCCTTCATGGTAGAACACAGGTCAACAGATGTGTTACATGATTCGACACAGTTCGTAATTCCCCGCCGACGCAGCTCCCAGGCGTTGTGCACCTTGCCAGTCATTGTTTCTGCCTCTGGTGTTAGCAGCCGGGCTGTCACACACGTTGCCGTCCATCAAGCACCCCGCTTATTTGCAGCGTTCGGCTGATGTGCCACGAGCCACCGATGCAGACTTCCTTCTCCACGTCACTCATTCGGCCACTCACACACATTGGTACATCGCCAAACGATTGGTTCGTTGACGAATCAGTGAATGCGTGGGCTGGGGGCGAGGAGCCCACCTGTGTTCCGCCGCGGCGTCGCCCCGAGGTACGTCCCAGTCCCTCTTGCCGCCCGCCGCACCGCTCTCCGTGTCCAGACCTCACCTCTGCCTCCGCACACGTGACGTAAGAGGTCGCCTGCCAAGGAGAGCCGCCGTCCGGCCCCGCACTCACCAGGATCCGGTGCTTCTCGGCGCAGGCGAACTCGGTCTCGTCCACGTCGCCGTAGCAGTCGGACCGGTAGTCGGCCGGCAGCGGGCGCCCCTTGAACTCGCACAGCTTCGAGAGCGGCCGCGACTTCACCAGCATGTCGTCGAACGACTTGGGCTTGTACAGCGGACAGTAGAACACGTCCGGCGTCTTGGGGTTGTAGACGATCGACTTGCGCATCATGTCACCGGCCAGGCAGCAGCCCACCTGCGGGCGCGGTCAAGGGTCGTGGCGCAGGTCGGGAGGTCACGCGCCGTGAGAGGGTTGGCGGCGACGTGGGAAATCCCGGGGCGCAGTGCGGAGCGGTGCGGCGCGCCATTTTAGGCAATGGGAATGGCGGGAGGGGCCGTGCAAGAGCCGACGTTGTCGGCTTATGAGACGGGGTGGGACTGCTCTGATGTCGTCTCCATCTTAAGCAGAGGAGCCGCTCATGCATCTTACTGTGTGACACGTGAAGGATGCAAGCCTTAGGCGATTATTCCAATCGCTAGATCGGTCTGGTGTTTTTGACAAGCGCCCCATGTCCTCTGGCAGCATGCTGGCCCGCCTCAGCGGTGCGGTTGCTCACAAGAATGGCACAGGCTTAAGCAAGTCGGCATCGCTCCACACAAAGGAACGAATTTGTCATGACTTACACACGATAGTGCTGACGTCCTCACAGCCCACGTGAAACGCGGCCCCTCCCGTAAGGCACGTGACGCACGTGTGCGATCCCAGCCGTGCCGCTGACAGGTCGTCCGGGCGGGGGTCGCGAGGTCGTGTGTTACATGCAGACAGTGGGTGCCAGACGGCCGACGCCAGCCACTCTCGGCCGGCTTCCAGACGCCAGCCACTCTCGGGCGGCTGTCAGACAGCAGCCACTCTCGGCCGGCTGTCAGACACCAGCCACTCTTGACCGGCTGTCAGATGACAGCCACTCTCGGTCGGCTCTCAGACAGCAGCCACTCTCAGCCGGCTGTCAGACGCCAGCCTGTCTCGACCGGCTGTTAGACGCCAGCCACTCTCGGCCGGCTGTCAGACGCCAGCCACTCTCGGCCAGCTGTCAGACAGCAGCCAGACACTCTCGGCCGGCTGTCAGACAGCAGCCACTCTCGACTGGCTGTCAGACGCCAGCCACTCTCGGCCGGCTGTCAGACGCCAGCCACTCTCGGCCGGCTGTCAGACGCCAGCCACTCTCGACCGGCTGTCAGACAGCAGCCACTCTCGGCCGGCTGTCAGACGCCAGCCACTCTCGGCCGGCTGTCAGACACCAGCCAGCGCCGTTCGACGCTCCCATTAGCCGTTAATTGTCGGCCAAGCCAGCCCGTACATCCTGTCCTGAGTGGCGTTGCTGAGTTGGTCAGCCTTGGGACCGGCCCCCGATGGAACTGTCACTTACCCGCCTTCACGGTCATGTTTGCAACGGGCCATCTGCCCAACGCCACTGAGGTTATCCAGCTCTAATCCTCTCAAGTCCCAGCGAATTTTATTGCTTTCTAAGACAGTGATGGGGCTCGCAGCGCGGCCGACTCACCAAGGCCAGCAACAACCAGGCTCCTGCCAGCTTTCCTGAAAATAAACGGGTCAGTCAGACGATTCGGTGCAGATAAGAGCAATGACCACAGCGACAAACAGCTGGCTCAGTTAGATCTCAAAAGATGCACATGTGGGGGATAGCAAATACATGCGGCCTTGGAAAGAGGACATATTTTCCAGGAATTTGAGATGTCGTACAATTATCCAGGACATATCCGACCAACTCTGTGAAATGTTGACCAGACCCAAACAACGTTATGGTATGCGCATAGATCTTAACGTCCATAACATAACTCCTTATGGTTGCGCTTCCAATTCAAACATCACCTAAAAGATTTACACCACCAAATCATCCCGGCCTTGAAATCGTCTCAGACCACTTCTTCTCCACCTCCAGGCCAGACCTGTCCATCGCGGCGCGGCACCAGCGCACGAGAGAGCACGCTCTCCACCTGCCCACCACCCCTCAATCAAGCCTCTGTCTCGCCTCGCCGCCTGCGCGCGGCCGGTGCAGGGGTCGCCGACCCGCGGCGCCGCGCGGCCGGCCGCCGCTGGCCCGTGACCCCTGGCGCCGCGGCGGCCACCTGGTCCGGCCGCGGCCGCTCACCGGCGGCGGTGGTCGGCGCCGTTTTTGCGCTAGGCCCGCTGCCAACGGGCAGCCCCATTTGGGGAGACGGGCTGGAGTCATGCCGGCCGGGCAGCACCTGATGACCGTGACGGCCGCCAGGGCCTCCTCGTGCGGGGGAGTAGGCTCTGAGTTCCGTTAGACGGTCACGGAGCTCCCTTCCAGGCCGGTGCGCGTGGACTGAGAGGCACGGGGACCATGTAAAACTTAAGAAGAGATACACGTAGTGTAGCAGACACAGTATGTGTGAGCATTCAATGTGTGTTTTGCATACGAAGCGGGGATTTTCTGCCAATGGGTCTTTTGCTATTTACACAGGCATTTTTGTTCGTGATATCATGAGCAAAGATGTCTGTAAATTTGTGCCTTAAAAGATGATCTTGTGCTGGAATAAACAAGCATGGTGTTAATTTGCATCGGTAGAAGCGTTCAAGCTATCAACTTCCACGATGTGCTTTACGTTTATGCAGACATATTTCTTCTCCTCGAACTCGTACTTTGTGGGATGTGCAGGGTGTTTCGCTTGAAATGTCACCTTTAGAGGTGTCAATAAGGAGGCTTGGAAATAGGCCAAGCACGCGCCGCCTGGCAAGCGTTGTTGAACATTGCCGGACATTTAGATTGGTGTCTTTTACGCAGTTATGGTGTCTGGAATCTGGAACTACAGGCCTGAGTCTTATCGCTCAGCGGATCAACACCCCACCTGCAAGGCACAAACAGGTGTTGGTCATTCTGCGTTGGGAAAAGGGCGATCGTGTTGGGGGGGGGGGGGGAGAGACTGTCGGGGAGAGATTTGGCCAGACATACGAGCATGGCTATAGAAACAAAAATATTGAAGTATTCAAGTATCTGTAATATACAGAAATATGTTATAATATGTTTTCTTTTACGAATCACAACCGCTTTCAAGTTGACATTTCAAATGACACATACTGTAGTTTGTATTCGCTTCTGTCCATTAATTTACACCACTGTTGTACTAACAGGGTGCAATAAAGCATTTCTGAGCTTTCTTTATTTTATTGTGGTTTTTTCATGAGCCTTCCAGCGGCCAGTAATAGGGTCTGAGTCGATGAATTCGCGCAAAGATTTCTAGGAGACCGCGTCTTCACCGAGACGGTCGTGGAGTTAGGAAGAGCTCCAAACGTCGAATTACCCTACAACACGGAAGGAGAACTCGAGAATGGCAGTGTGGCTGAAGAGCTCCAAATGTCGGAGCACCCTACAATACGGAAGGAGAACTCGAGAATGGCAGTGTGGCTGAAGAGCTCCAAATGTCGGAGCACCCTACAATACGGAAGGAGAACTCGAGAATGGCAGTGTGGCTGAAGAGCTCCAAATGTCGGAGCATCCTACAATACGGAAGGAGAACTCGAAAATGGCAGTGTGGCTGAAGAGCTCCAAATGTCGGAGCACCCTACAATACGGAAGGAGAACTCGAGAATGGCAAGGTGGCTGCGACAGCGAAGAGCTTAAGAGAATGTCAGGGTCTCACAGTATGCAAAATTGTCTCCTTTAACCTGAGGAAGAGGAGAGAGGGATAGAGGAGGCAGTAAGACAACGCGATTGGGAAAGGTCGTTTTGCAGACTCTGCGTTGTATTTACTGAGTATGCGATGGGGAAAGCGTGGCAGGCCGTATAAAGTTCAGCATTGAGTTCATCGAGCCTCCAAAATGTGTCCACTAACCATAATTCCGCGAGGTCGTAGCCACCAGAATGAGTTACAACGTTTGCACCATGGAGACGAATATCGGCTATCGCCTTCAATCAACAGTCCAGCATCACTTCATCGTGGTAGCTCAGGTCAGGGATTACTGCACGCTGCAGCCACCCGACAACCCGCCCTGACTTGTCGGCACGCGTTTGCAACTCCATGCGGAGATCCCCTGCAAAATTCTGCGGCATTTTTATCTTGCGTGGTCACGACTTCGAAGTGAATACTGCAGTCATCGGTATGACTGGTGGCATTCGGGCGGCGTACCACTCATATTTGAATGAAAAACTGACTGCATAATATTGATGGAGATGATACCATCATAAATAAACGAGGGTTGATGGACAATGTCAAACGCGCATATTTGGGACGCTTGCACCTTATCCCCGCGATACCTTAAATGTCTTGCGTAGACATTAAATATCTTGTTACCGTTTTGTGTTACTTCTCCGTTGTTTGTTAGCTGTAAACTTGGGCGTTGCATGGTACATTTCAACCTTAAAAAATTATTTCCCCATCTGTCGACATATATCTCGCTTATAAAACTTCAAAGGCCTGATTAATCCTTCAGGTTACTCAAGACTGCGCCCAAACGCACATTTCTGGTGCATGTCAAGTCTGGGTCAAGTTGGATGTCCATCCCTCTGACTAACCTTATATGTCAGCTCACTGCTTGTCACATCTTAAAAGATACGTATTTTATTTCTAGCCCATAGGGACCAAGCCAAACCCCTGTGACCTGTGAACGGTAAGTGAAACAATTGCTATTAAGCTGAACTTAACAGGATGATGTGCACAGAAACATTTAAGACACAACGATTTCTCCATTGCATCAAAAAGTGCATTACAAAATGATACGAATAGCTATGACCAATGTTGTACTGAGAATTACCGTTTTGATTCGGATCTCCGCTTACTTACACAGCAGACATTATTTGATATATTTGACCCGCACCCATTTTGGCAGTGTCAAAGTGTTAAAATCATGAAAAGTTATGGTTGCATTTAAATAAAAGCCAGTGTGAAAAAGAAAAAAAAAACCTTAGGGTACGGAATGCAATATATTTGCATACATTCGATACACTGCGATTGTGCGACATATTGATGTGCGTTCTTGTCTTTTCCCAAGGTGGATAAATTTTACTAATACTGGCTCTTGCATGAAACGTACAAATTCGTGCATCGCTCATCCTAATCGTCAGCCATTCCGTTTGGGAATGTAGAGCAACTAAAACAGTTCCATTGCAAGCGTTCACCAATGCAGTAGAGCAATACGCAGATTGAAAATACACAGACAGTGCAAGCAAACGACAAATGAAAGAAATATGTAACCACGTGGGGTCCAATCAATTAGGTGATAACCAATCACCAATGAGATGGTGTAAAATGTTAAAATATGGTGCATGCGGCACACGAGGAAAGAATGGCGAGTGTCGCTTGTAAAATGTGCAGATGTGCTAGATATGTCTTCTTTATAGAGGGTGTGGAACAAGGCACATTGTCACGTTGACACACTACGGTGGTGGTTTGGAGCACAAAACCCGTTCAGTACGGCATAAAACCTGTTCAGTCTCGGCAGGCTCTAGTTGGCACAAAACGTTTGTGTTCGTCGTGGCACGCATTATTTTCGTCATTGAATGCATTCCTTTAAGAATTAGACCCGGCCAAGTTCCAGACCGAATTGAGATGTGAATGCGGAAAACTTTTGGGAACGGTTGGTCTAGCGAACAAGTTTGGTAAAAATGTTAATGTCAGCTCCTCATTGCCACCTGCTCCGCCCTCCCCGCCCACAGCTTCGTCGTGAACACTCAGAGCTTGCCTCACCTCCGCAGTGCAAGCTGCACACATGAGCCACGAGCCGGCTTAAGTAGCGGCCTCGTGGAATCCCACCGCTGCGCCTCACCAACCCCAAAGAAGGAGCCTCGTGGGGTGTAGGTCTCGGAAGCGAAGGTCTCTAAGATGGATGCGGTCTTTCTACACCATTCACCCTTCTCCTTATTGCGACAGCTCTGAAATGGATATTGCTGGTCGAAAGAGCTCTGATCCAAACCAAAGGAGAAAAACTCTGGCGAGACCTTAGCCAGGAGACCTCAACTGGCCGAGATGTCTAACCCGGAGACTGCAGCGCGCGGTGGGATTGGACCCGAGTACGGCAAGACCGCCGCCGCGGGCGGTCCAGCCCCGGCTCAGCCGATACCCGGCGTCGACGAGACCGGAAGGGCGGGGCGTGATCTGGGCCGCCGCCTCGGCGCCGTGACGAGCAGACGGTGGTCGCTACCGTGACGTCACGCCCTGCCGTCGCCAGCATCGGCCTCGGGCGCTGGTCCCGCCGCCCGAGCTGGTCCACCTGACCAGCAGGCTTCCCTCGGGGCCAGCGGCGTTCGCGGAAAGGTGGAACTGGTCTTTCTGACACTGGATGACCTGCGTCGGTCCGGTTTCATGACCCCGCTAGACGATGTCCTTGCGTTAGTTTGCCGAAGGTGCTCATTTGTCTTTTCTTACTTTTCAGCTTATTGTCAACAGCAAAATGCCTATTGCAAGCATATTCCACCGGCGGGTGAAACTTGGTATTAAAGCAACAAAAGGTATAAAGGACGTAGCCTACTCAAATGTTCTTCCAGCCATGTATGCACATATCAATGTAGTGCTGAACGACTGCTCGCTGCAATTTTCAGAATCCGTGTAACCATTCCACACAAGGGCTCTGACGTGGCAGTCGTGCGGTGGTGTAACCGTCGTGAAGCCGTCCGAAAATGCCGGTGTGTGTTTGCAGGAATGTCTTATGTTCAACGTTATCACAGCCTTCTCGCTGGTTACATATGTTGCAGGCTTATGCAGAATGCCGTAGGGGCTTCTGCACCGAGAAGCATGGCCGGCATCGCCATCTTTTTGTGGACAAATTTGGACGACTGCGAGTCGGGCGAGCCATTTTTTGCTTAGAACGGGTTATTTGGCAGTGCATCCTGTACGGCGGGCTGCAGCTTTGAGAGCGACTTCTGAACACCTGACGTTGTTCGTGATCTGGCGCATTACCTCGTGGCCTGCTGGTACCGGAAGCGGCAAGGTTTCGAACAGCCGTCGCGTGAGATAACTCCGCGTTGATCTGCTGCCTCCTGTCACCGTTACGCATGAGCGCAACACAAAGCTCTCGAATATCTCCGAGCTGCTGGTCTTCAACGTAACGAGCTCTCTTCAGAATTATTGCCTGTCTGGCTTCCATACCTGCATCCCAGCTGTGAGACGCACCGCCAGAACGAAAGCAGAATGCGTGGGCTGACCAGGGTCATCCCCGAGGACCTGTTCTTCGGCCAAACCCCCTCTCCGTCCGCTAACAGGCACGAAAGATCACACGCACACGCACAGAGCCGTTGTCCCCTCCAGTCGTAGGAGCGCGCTCGCTCCCCCCGACCAGCACTCACCCATGTTTCGTGGCGGCGGTGCTGACGGTCCGTGCGAGCTGTTCGCGCGCTCGTCACCAACACAGCCGGTCCGCCGCGCTCCGCTTCGGCCAAGGCCCCACCGCCCGCCGCTCGGCCGCTTTCACCTTCGCCGCCCGCCGCGGCGTAAGGCTCAGCGCGCCGCGCCCAGCCGCCTGGAAAGCGCCTCTGTTGACTTGCGCCGCGGAGGCGACGTGGGGCGTGACGCAAAGACGGTGCGAGCAGAACCGCATCGAACAGCGCGCGACGGCGCGGGCAGAACAGCAGCGCGTTTGCGTGCAGTTCCCTGCAAGGAACTTCTCCTCACCATCCTGTTCGTCTGGGGTGTGCGGAGCCATTCCAGCCCGTTAGCGCACTTTGCTCTAATTTGTTTCCGGCAAAAGAATAACGCGTAACAGAATAGCTGTACCTCACATCAGTTCTTTCCCCGAGGTCGTCAGTTATGCGCGGCACGCCCGACCCTTCTGGAATGCGCGTCCGCCTGTTCGGGTCGCGCGCCACCGTCCGCCCGGGAAGCACGCCTGACTGCGCCCCTGCCTGACTCACCAGCCGCGGGTCGCCTGTCCCTCCTACGTGCCGCGGTGGCGTCACGGCTAGTTGCGCACCGGTCCGCCGCGCGGCGCCACCGGCGGGCGCGGCGACTCAGTCAGCGGCCGTTGCTGCGTACAGCGCGGCGGCGGAAATTGGCGCTTTCAGTGGAGCGCCGCGCCCCGGTCGCCGCCGCACCCGCAGCTCGACAGGATGACGCCCTGGCTCGCGCTGCTCTTCCTGGCCGCCCTGCTCCCGGACGGGGCAGACTGCGGTGAGTCGCGGCACGGTGGCATGCTCTCGAATCGCCGGCGAAGGCGGATGCGTGGATGCTGTGCCCTCCGAGGCATGCGTTTCCTGTTGTTGGCGCGGTTTGTCTCGAGGTGGATGATGAGTCACGATGCCGACCGGCCAGGGGGCTCATGGCCCAGCTCGGCGTTGTAACACTGTTCTGGTTGAAGCAGTGATGCGTGCTATGTGCACATCCTGTTTATAAAATGGCGGGAAACCAGAAGTCATCCCAACAATCCTACTGCTAAACTATACCGTTCAAGGTTACGAGGATAAAGGTATGTGTTGTTCCTGCCCGAACGCAAAGACCCGGTGCAGCTTCACTGATGGCGTGAGGTTGAATGGCGTTACAATAATGCTACAGGAACAACACGTGTATATATCCCGTAACCTTGAACAATGTACGTTAGCTCCAGCAACGATGTCCACCGGCTCCGTTTGCTTGATCGAGATTTGAACTGACCGTAGCGCCCGCCCGCCGGACTGTGACAGGCAGCCGTGCCTTTCATTATGTAAGGTGTCCTGAAGCCGGCACAGTCAGTCAACAGGCGTGCGTTGACCGTCACGCGGTGACAGGCTTGGCGAGCTGGGGGGGGGGGGGGGGGTTCCCCCCGTAATGACGTCAGGTGGCAGAGTTTTGCGAGGCGTCACGTATGTGCATGCCATGCTTGCGGACGATCTACTTATTTTTTCGTTCCCCTAGGATGTGGTCTTTTGTGTGCAACCAGTAATTAGTGATGCATGTAATGGATGTAAGCCTTTCCTTCTAGTGAATTCATGGGATTCACAACGTATATATGTAGAAACAGCTGTCAACAACATTAAGTTGCCAAACAAAGAGCAAAAGAGGAGTGTTACTGCCCCATGGAGACTGCGCTCCCGCTGTGATACAGCAGTACTGTACAGCATAGCGATACAACAGCAGCACATCGCTTCACTGGAGAGCAGACTCGCTACAACCGGCTTCCTGCGTCCGCGAAGTGCGCAGCGCGAGTTGCGCTCCAGTAACGTACTGCTTGCACGCGTCAACACGGCGTGAGCTTTGTATCTGTGCTACAATATTTTGCAATCCGATCTTGCCTCGTGTAACGTACCGCTGAGATACCAGTCTTCTCTTCTGTGCTGCCAGGGTCAGATACCGCACAGACTTCGACCTCTCTCGTCTACGGCATGATGAGAGTGTAGTGCTCGTTCGTCTGGGCGACGCTCCTCCTCGACGTCGGATAACGACTCGTGCTGTCACCCTCAGTCCGGTCCAGTAAGCCGTGCCGCCACCCTCAGTCCGGTCCAATAAGCTGTGCCGTCACCCTCAGTCCGGTCTAGCGTGCCATGTCGTCACCCTCAGTTCGGTCTAGTGTGCCGTGCCGTCACCCTCAGTCCGGTCTGGCGTGCCATGTCGTCACCCTCAGTCCGGTCTAGCGTGCCATGTCGTCACCCTCAGTCCGGTCCAGTAAGCCGTGCCGTCACCCTCAGTCCGGTCTAGCTTGCCATGTCGTCACCCTCAGTCCGGTCCAGTAAGCCGTGCCGTCACCCTCAGTCCGGTCTAGCGTGCCATGTCGTCACCCTCAGTTCGGTCTAGTGTGCCGTGCCGCCATCCTCAGTTCGGTCTAGCGTTCCATGTCGTCACCCTCAGTTCGGTCTAGTGTGCCGTGCCGTCACCCTCAGCCCCGTCTAGCGTGTCGTGCGTCACCTTCAGCCCGGTCTAGGGTGCCGCGCCTTCACCCTTAGCATTGTCCAGCGTGCGCACCACGTGACCAACGAGTCCCCTAGTGTGCCCACCACGTGACCAGCGAGTCTCCTCGCGTGCCTACCACGTGACCAGCGAGTCCCCTAGCGTGCCCACCGCGTGACCAGCGAGTCTCCTCGCGTGCCTACCACGTGACCAGCGAGTCCCTCGCATGTCCTCCTCAGCCAACTGCAGCGTGCCCACGATCATGCGCGACCAGTGGTACAGCTACGAGGACGGCCAGAACACCATCACCGAGCTGGACGCGACGCGCATGAGCGGCCGCGGCGAGTGCGTCGCGATGGTACAGGACAGCTACCGCTACACCATGCTCTTCAAGGACAACAGCTGCTACCACTGCGTGCAGCTGCTGGTGCGCACCATCAACGTTATGGAGAAGCGCGAGAGTGAGTTCGGCGTGGGTCTGGAGGGAGGGGTATCACAGCGTGGAGCACGTGCCCCTGCAGGTTTGCGTTTTCATCCGTGCAACTACCGCACGCTATCAGCGCAGTTCTTTTACCTATTTTGAGCATCATGGCAGATACCATGTGCTGGCCAACGGAGACACGGTCTCCACACGAACGACACAGTTGGGTCGGAACGCATGCCCTGGGTTAGACAGCACGCTGCGATGCACGCGCTTGCCAGCGTGTGCGTGTAGCGGGCTTTGACGGCGCACAACAAACCGAGGTAACGTGGCATTTTACAGAATGTCTTATCACACCTCCGAATCATTGCTCTCAAAATGCAAATCGTGGCTCTGTTCCAATCCATGGTCGCTTTTATGCAATGCTGAGTGAATTCCTAACCTGAAACGTGGCCTTGCAGCTGGCTGTGTGAACTTCGCATCTTCGTTCTCGCCTACGCTGGAGCAAGTGTGCAAGAACTTGGACACTGAACAAGATCTCATCACACTCTTCAATCAGAACTTCCGACCCAAGATCTGTCGGTCCAGTTTGGAAGGGCGTCTGGCAGTTTGCTTACCAAAATCGATTCCGGTTCGTACAAGCTTATTATAGAACTCGATGATGTTATGTAACGTGATAAGTAACTCAACAGGCTAGAGGACGCAGGGTTTCGCGCAATGAAGAAAGCCGCTTACTAGCCACATATGCTGCCCCCCATGCTTACATACGCTTGCTAGCCGCATGCCAGCGAACTGGGGACGAGTCACATATGCTTAGCGTAACTAAAGTGGGGTCAAACGTTGTGTCGCATGACAGTTGTCAGTAATGTCTTTGATCGTGATAATAGTAGGTGATTAGCACAAGACGTAGACGTTTTATGGCTTCAGTCCCGGCACTCCCTTCAGGCTGAGAGGTAGACGACACCATATAGACCCAGCAGCTGAGCGCGTTGTGAAGCCCCAATGACAACAACCACTCCGCTGTTGATGGGGCCCCGCCTTCATCCTCTGCTGCAGGTTCACCGGCGAGTGCAACAACCCAGACAGTCGCTTGCGCTCTTGCCAGGAGCTGGGCAACCAGTTCCTGATCGCCAACCAGAAGTTCACCATGAACTACGCTCGGTGCGAGTCGAAGGACGACAACACTGAGCGGGATCCGCTCTACCGCAACGAGGACATCAACCAGGGCAAGGTGGAGTTCGCCTGTCTGGGCGACTGGAAAGTCGGCAAGAACCACTTCTTTGCCGTGGCCAACACCAAGGAGTCGCGGAAAGAGGCCAAGTACCGTTGCTTCCTAAAAAACCGTGACGACGACCTGCTGCTGGGCAAGAGCATCACTCCAGAGTGTAACGTGCTGAAGACGCCCCAGGACAGCCCGGAGAGGCTCAGCCTGACACCAGGTACGGCACGATACAGCTACCGGACGCTGGGAACCGGAGAGGTTCAGCCTGACACCAGATATGGCACGAGACGGTTACCGGGCACCGGGAACCGGAGAGGCTCAGCCTGACATCATGTATGGCGCGGGGCAGTTACCGGACACTGGGGACCGGAGAGGCTCAGCCTGACAACCGCGAGACAGCTGCTGGACACGGGAGACGGGGGAGGCTCAGCCTGACATCATGTATGGCGCGGGGCAGCTACCGGGCACTGGGGACCGGAGAGGCTCAGCCTGACAACCGCGAGACAGCTGCTGGACACGGGAGACGGGGGAGGCTCAGCCTGACATCATGTATGGCGCGGGGCAGCTACCGGGCACTGGGGACCGGAGAGGCTCAGCCTGACACCGCGAGACAGCTGCTGGACACGGGAGACGGGGGAGGCTCAGCCTGACATCATGTATGGCGCGGGGCAGCTACCGGGCACTGGGGACCGGAGAGGCTCAGCCTGACACCGCGAGACAGCTGCTGGACATGAGAGACGGGGGAGGCTCAGCCTGACATCATGTATGGCGCGGGGCAGTTACCGGACACTGGGGACCGGAGAGGCTCAGCCTGACACCGCGAGACAGCTGCTGGACACGGGAGACGGGGGAGGCTCAGCCTGACATCATGTATGGCGCGGGGCAGCTACCGGACACTGGGGACCGGAGAGGCTCAGCCTGACACCACGAGACAGCTGCTGGACACGGGAGACGGAGGAGGCTCAGCCCGACACCAGGGATGGCG